AACCATATTTATGTTTTGACAATTATGCTACATTTATTTCATTTCAGTACATTCCAATTAAAAATTTCATTCATCATTAATAAGTTTTCAACTTTCCAAACATAGTCAATTGAATTTTGTTAATATTAATTTTATTTTATTTTATGATGACATCATCAAAATAATCTAATGGTTGAAATTAATCAATGAAACATAATGAATGACCCTGATTGTTGAAGATGATGTCATCAAGTTTCTCTTTTAATATATATAAAGATGAGTATATTATAAGATCTTTTTTAGGGGTTTGTATAGTTCTATTACTATGAAAACATTGAGGGATCAGAAAGATATACGTTATTGTTAAATATCTCTGTTAATTGGTCTCGCAACCAATAAAAAAAAGTAATCATAACTTCCTGTGAATAAAATAAGTAATATTTACAATTAAATCGAATTTCACTTGCTTAGGCCTAGAGGAAGCATGCTACTCATGCTCAATATCATTTGGTTTGAACTCAAACACAAAATAATGTTCGTTTAGTTATACATATTATGTTTCGTAAAGTAAATACTAAATAGTAAATACCCAGGTTGAATCATATAATCACTCATTTTCTTTTTCAAACTTTATGATTATATAAGCTTGCATACTTGGTAACACTATTAATAATTGAATGTTGATTGTAAACAATGAAGGAATCCGAAATGTTGATTGTTTCAAAATCGCCAATGCCTGATTCGAGGTAGTTGCTGCTGCAATACATGGAAAAACTCATCAACCAATGATGATTCGATGGAAAAATAAAGCCTTCGCGTCCTTTTGGATATGGATCTACATAACCACTCTCCACCAAATCATAGCTCTTGGGACTTCAACATTGTCTTCGATACCTCCCCCCCCCCCCTTTTTTTTTTAAAAAAAAAACTATAATTAAAGGTTGTGTTGTAGAACATGTATCATTGCTAGTTGTCATAGTTGTGTTGTAGACCTTATACCATTGCTAGTTGTCATGGTTCTCGCTTCAATACCAAATTTATTGGAAGAAATAAGGGAAAATCAAAAAAAGAATTGGTACAAAACTGAGGAAATTTTTGCTGTAAAGGAATTTCTTCTGCTCAAATTTGTAAGTGTACACAACCATTTAAATACCAAAAATAAGAAAATGATAATCCCTACTTATTTATATGCAATCATTGACCAATTAAACTTAATTGAAATAAAGTAGCAACCACTAAAAAAATTGACTACTTAAATGCCAAGTAGTGGGTTAGAAGCTACTAAAAGTTTTGAGCACTATTAATCAACAAATTCGAATGTCTTGCCATTCACAATCGATTGGAAGATATCTCTTTTGTTAAACGAAATATCTTAATTTCATAACCTAAAAAAATCATAAATTCAATCATAAAGGTCATTTAAACGTTCATATTGACTTTCTTCTCTTTGGGTTCTTTTGGGCTCTTGAAGTCGTATTCTCACATCTTAAACTTATTGAAAGACTCAAACGTAAATATTAAAAGAATACTTGGTTGATTGTGCAAAACGCAGAAAAATGTGAGAATAAACATAACCATTGGTAAAACAAAACTATAAATGTAAGTTATACTTGATAAAGATGATGGTATCGTTTAGCCACTAAACTGAGAAAATAATCAAATATCTTTACTATATTCAACATTGTAACATCAAGAAGGCGCGAGAAAAAAAAACAAATTGAATCCTTTTCCGATCTATACATGTATATTTCCAAAAAGAATAAATAAATAAGAAGGTAATACTTCTGGTTCCTCAAAAACCATAATCATTTAGGTGTTGTTTGATTTTCTGAAGCAAAAATTCATGAAGTCTGCGGACCACCTCTGCAACCCTCTACAGTAGAAGAGGTGGACCAAACGACTGCAGAGTGTAATAAGAAGCGTGTTTGTTTTTTTAACATCTGCATACTGCTGCAGATATTAAAAAATTAAAATAAACTAATTTTATAAACCGAAAATAGTTTTTTAATACGTAAAATTTAATAATGTATAACATTTCGGCAACAATTAATGATATTTCATTAAAAAATAATGATATTTCAACAAAAAAATAATGATATTTCATTAATAAATTATCATTATTGAATATAAAAAAAACGGAATAAAAAAAATTTAACAAGAATAAACAAAAAAAACGAAAAAAAAAGGTGAAATAAAATTTCAACAACATATAATCAAAATTACAGCAAGAAAAAAAGAAGAAGAGGTTGGAAGAGGCAGTACAAGTGCTGCGCCAAACAGAGCACACACAGAGGTTTTTGACTCCGAAGACTTCTAAAAAACAAACAGCTGCGAGATGAAAAGTGTTGCGTGTGTGCTGCGCCGCGCAACAATAAGAGGTTTGAAGAGGTTTTTTTCAAAAAACAAACAGCACCTTAGTCTTGTGCATCGTGAAACCTGTCATGGATACAGTTTATCATTTCCTCAATCAGTATTAGTATATCAGTATCGAGTCAATTAAGTCGATCACGTATACTTAACAATTCAGATATGGCAACCACAACAAAGGTAGAAGAAACAAAGTGTGGATACCAAAACAACTGCTTCTGCACCCGAAAGAATCTTGAAGAGAAACCGATCAACAAACCATCGATGCACATTGAACTTGGTCTTCCATCGAAGCCCATGGTTCCCAAATCCCAATCTCTTCCATATTCCCTTTGGGTTCTTCCCTTGTAACCTCTTGAAACCAAACATAAATAAAGGCTTTTTTCTTCCATTTTTTTAGCCTTTTTATTGTTATATAATATTTCGAAGGTGTATGCACTTTAGACTTTAGAGGTATTTATATTGGTTTGTAAGGGTATCATAACTCGAAGAAACAGCCGTTGAAGGTTACAAAAACGAATGAATCAATGATTATGCCTCTTGGGTTTTGGTTATATTATGGTTATGGTCCTTGAGCATACGTTTGTGAGATGTCATGGCATGTTTTGTTGATCTAGTCCTAAATGTTAGGTTGCTAAAGTTGACCATCATTGTTCTATGGTTTTTAAAAGAATAAATATTTTTCTTCTTGAATTAGTTACTGAAAAACCATGACAATTTCTTATTAATTACTTATGCTTATCACTAACGTGCCTTATTTATTGATGAATCATGTCTAATGATATATTCAAAATTTATTTATAAGAAATATCAATCATCCTAAAATCATGGAAAATTACCTGCAACACTAAGATTTTTGCCTCAAATATCGTCATTCATCGTATCTTTAAAAAAAATATTTGTCAGTTTTTATGTAAATTTAATTTTGCACTCTGTTTGTTGTTTGTAAATTTGAATTTTGTTCGCAAGTGTCTTTTTCTTTACTTTGTGTTAGGAGACATTTTACCATTGGTTAAGTTTATTTTGTGTTAGATTTTTTTTTGTTAGATTAGAAGACATTAATATAAATGTCTATTTGTACAAATAATTATTTTTTGTTAGCAAGTGCCTTTTTCCTTTATTTTGTGTTAGGACTAGGAAACATTGTATGTTTTATAATTTATGTATCTCATGTAGACATCTGCGAATGTCTTTAATTACCCTATATATCTATTTAACATTGTATTTTTCTGAAGTAAAGAAGTTAAATGGAAATGGAAATTTTAACAAAGAAAATATATACATGATAAAAAAAACAAAAGAATTACCTAGTTAACCTAAAAAATATTATTGTGCCATTTCTTTATTAAAAAGAAAAAAATGTGAATTTACAAAAATAAAAAGTAGGGGGGCATTATGAATATTTGAAAAAAGTTATATTGAGGGCAATTACGGTACCGCGTTTTCTTGGGTCAATGGTTGCATAAATGGGCCAACTTGAAGTTGGTTCATTTCAAGGAAGACTGCCCTTTTAATGATTTACAAAACCATCCCTAGACTAGACTAAGGTGTGATTTGTTTTTTCTGAAACAAAATATCAGCAGTATGCGAATCATATCTGTAGACCTCTGCAGTATAAGAAGTAGACCAAATGTTTGCAGTCTGAAATAAAAAGACTGTTTGTTTTTTAACATCTGCAGACTGCTAGAATAAACTAAAATCTAATTAAACCGGTTTTTTTTTTTAAATTTAAAAGAGTTTTTCAATAACTTTATAACTTTTTTATAGATAATTAATAAATGTAGATTGACTTTTATGTATTATTGTATAAAAAGTGAAAATAAAATGGTACGAATTAACGTATATATTTGATAAAAATCAACAAACTTTAGTCGCAAATATATACCTAAACATTGTAATTAAGGATAAAAGAACTTAACACGTAAAATTAATGTAAATAAACTTTGATTTTAAATGAAAATTTTAAAATGTTCATTTTACCTTTTCAATTAAATCACTTAAAAACTGGTCATATATATTTATCCCAATAAATGAATGATATTGCATTAAATAATGTTTTATAAAATTTTGCACAAAAAATATAAGACAATATTACGATTTTTTTTCATATTTATCTCACACGACACGACACGATTGACATGTCTATATATGAGTGGGGTCAGGTGTTTGAAAAGTAGGCAAAATCCAGCATTCAAAGTTTCTACTCTAAATTAACATCATGAATGTTTTCAATTTGTTATATTACATCGAGTTTAAATAAAAAGTCATTATTTAGAGGTATGGACCTGGATTGTATCATTTCAAACATCGGGTGTGGTACCATTCTTAGGATTTTGGAGTTTGGAGTGCATATTTTCAACATTTATACTCTGAAATAACATTATATATATATATATATATATATATATATATATATATATATATATAT